TGGAGCACTGGGTGTTATACGAAAACAATGGATCATGGATCACCACATCAAAAACTAATGATTTATTGTATGGCGACTAACATAACATAATAAAATTTAAAAAAAAAATAATGAACGTCTTGGCTATTATAAATAATGCAGTGATGAACATGGGGTACAGCTACCTTTTTGAGATAGTGATTTTACTTCACTAGGGAAAATACAAAGAATTGGAATTGCTGGATCATATGGTAGTTATAAGTTTTAATTTTATGAGAAAATGCCATACAATTTTCATAGTGGGTGCACCAATTTACATTTCCATCAGTGACCTATAAATTTCCCTTTTCTCCACATCCACACCAAAATTTATTTCTTGTCTTTTTGATAATAGGCATTCTGACGGGTGTGAGGTGGTATCTTATTGTGGTTTTGATTTGCATTTTCCTGATGATGAGAAGTGCTGAGCAGCATTTCCTGCACCTGTCAGCCATCTGTATGTCTTCCTTGGAATATGTCTATTTCAGTTCCTCTGCCCATTTTTTAATCCAAAAAAAATTTTTTTTGCTATTGATTTGTAGGTGTTCTTTATATATTTTGGATATTAATCCCTTAGTGGATTCATGGTTTGCAAATATTTTCTCCCATTCAGTAGGTTGCCTTATTTTCTTGATGATTTCCCTTCTTGTTCAGAAGCTTTTGGTTTGATGTAGTCCAACCTGTTTACTTTTGTTTTTGTTTCCTTTACTTTTGGCATCAAATCCAAAAATTATTGCCAAGACCAAGGGCAAGTTTACTGCCTTATGTTTTCAAGTAAGCGTTTATGTTTTCAAGTCTTATGTTCAAGTCTTTAATCCATTTCAGTTGGTTTCTGGGAGTGGCATGAGGTAGGGGTTCAGTTTCATTCTTTTGCATGGGGATGTCTAATTTTTCCCAGCATCATTTATTGAAGACACTGTCCTTTCCTCATTGTATATTCTTGGCTCTTTTGTTATATATTGGCCATATATGTGTGGTTTTATTTCTGGGCTATTCTGTTCCACTGGTCTATGTGTTTGCTAATGCCGTACTGTTTTGATTACTACAGCTTTGTAATATAGCTTGAAACCAGGAAGTGTGATACCTCCAGCTTTGTTCTTCTTTCTCAAGACTGTTTTGGATATTTGAGGTCTTTTGTGGTTTCATACAAATTTTAGGTTTTCCTATTTCTGTGAAAAAGGTCACTGGAATTTTGAGAGGTTTTGCATTGAATCTATAGATGATTTTGGGTAGCATGGGCTTTTAACAGTATTAACTTTTTTAATCCTCGATCATGGGTTGTCTTTTCATTTATTTGCATCTTCTTCAATTTCCTTCATTAATGTCATAAGAGTTTTCAGTGTACAGATATTTCACCTCTTTTGGTTAAATTTATTCCTAAGTATTTTATTCCTTTGGTGTAATTGTAAAAGGGATTGTTTTATTTCTCTGATAGTTCATTGTAAGTGGATAGAAATACAACTGATTTTTTGTATACTGACTTTGCATTCTGCAACTTTACTGGATTCCTTTATTAGGACTGTCAGTTCTTTGGTGGCATCTTTAGGGTTTTCTACACATATGTCATCTGCAAAGAGAGAGAGTTTTACTTCTTCCTTTCCAATCCGGATGCCTTTTCTTTCTTTTTCTTATTTAACTGTTCTCACTAAGACCTCCAGTACTACGTTGAATAGAAGTGGGGAGAGTGGACATCCTTGTCTTGCTCCTAATCTTCAAGAAAAAAGCTTTCAGCTTTTCATTGTTGTGTATGATGTTAGCTGTGGGCTCCTCATATATGGCTTTTACTGTGCTGAAGTAAAGGAATGATAAACTAAAGTAAAAGCTATCTGCTATCCTAAGACCCAGGATTTGTTTTATGATTCAAGCACTAAATCATCATTTAAATTTTAATTTCCAGAGCTTTACTCACCCTATTATTCTTCCCCTAGAACAGGGGTTACCAAACTTGCTTGATTTACTGCACCTGTAGTATATCAGTAATTTTTTTCTTGATCACCATAGTCAAAAGAAATACCTCACAGTTAATTTCATTAATTTTTAGGCCCAAAGCAGTTTAAAGGTATTTTTGTCTTAATGAACTTGGTAGCTTATTTTTAAAATATATACAAATCAATTGAAAAGAAATGAAATTTTTATTTCATTCTTGAATAATCACCGTTACTTACTAATGGGATGTGTGTACCTGTCGTGCACTGCACAATTTCTCAAACCCTAGAATCAGATAGGATACTGTTAATTTTGTTTCCTATACCATGTTTTCATTTAGTGCTTGCTTTTTTATCAGAGCAACTGCTCAAAACATAGCTTTGCAAGAATAAGAAATCATCATTATGATGATTCTAATGCTAAATGGTCTAATGTTAAACTTGTCAACTACTTTGAGCTACAAGTTTGCTTGGTGTCTGACACATGATACATATGCCTTTGAGTCCTTCAAAAGTTTAAAATGTTTTGCAGTGAGAACTCAACTCTGTGAGTTCCTATGGGGCCTTGGGGCACCTTGGCATACAACTTGGGAACTGTAGGCCTAGAATCATAGATGCTCAGAGAGTTGATTAGAATCATGTCTTTCCTATTTTACTTTTCTAAGTATGCTCTTCCACCTGTCATTTTCACTTTCAAAGAGAGTTACTAGAAAGTAATAATGACGTACTGAACTTTTGAGTGATGGTTCATCAATACAGCATATTTCTTTGGCAATTAAAAGTGGTATACAGTTATACTTCTGCAGTAAAATGAACATGTGAATATATATCAAATATATTCAGTAAAATTCAAATGGTGTTAGTCAAATATATCAGCCTCTCTGCTCCCTTTTCCCTAAAGGAAATTGTTGCATCTAAAATAAGGAAATTTATACTTGTGCAGAATTTCTTTAAAAATTAACTTTTCTTGAGAATCAAAGACCTTATGCAGTCAGGACAGTTATTTTTCCATGAACAGAGGAATCTTTAGAGAAAAAATAACTCAGAAGTTTGAAACTTCACATTTATCATAGGAATCTTATGCTCGCTCTCCTCTTCTCCCCAGGGTCAGTGGCTCTATTTTCCTACAGTTTCACATTTGTGGTGTTTCATATATGAAATATATATGTATGAGTATATACCACCAGACTCCTGGTAGAAGAAAGGAAGCTCTGAGGTACAGAACTGGCTAGAAACGTTCTCTGGTTTGTTTCCCAGTTTAGAGTATTCCAGAATGGACAGCACACAGGGGAGAGTCGAGGCCTGAGGGAGGGCTGCACTCTGGCGGAATGATGGGAGGAGCGAAGCCTATCCAGGAAGATGAAGGAAGTTAAAATGAAGGGAGGGACAGTGGAAAAGAGAAGGAAGAAAGCACAGGCACAGGGGACTCAAACTGACACAGTTTGCCCAGAATTTCTATAAATCCCAGAAAATTCAAAGGCAGGTTTGACAAAATTTGAGGTAGAGAATCAATCTACCTAGAGGTAGCTGTGTGACGAGTTATTTTAGGCAGAGTCATAACTGGGATCTACTTACCTTGTCCACTCAAAATCGCCCGCACTGGAGATGCCTTTCAGCAGTAAATCTCTCATGATGTCTCTGCAGTGCACGCAGAGCGTGAGCAATGCTCCCAGGACAACCTGCGTGCGGGAGTTATTTGTGTCCAGCGCCACCAGCTCTGCAATCTCTTCTAGGTGACGGATCACACCAGCATGGACCTTCTCCAGCTCTGCTCTTGAATGAGAGCTCACGAAACTTTTGATGCAATCATTATAAAACATGATCTGGCTCTGAAAAAGTAAGATAGAAAGATGATCATTGAAAAATAAACTTTATAAATTAAACCAGATGTTTTCATGATGTCTCTGTGTGTGTGTGTGTGTGTGAGAGTACGTTTGTGTGTGAAAGAGAGCTTACACATTTGAATGTATTTGAGAGTTAGACACTGAATTTGATTAATGCTCGTGGGGCCTTATTTTTTAATAAATTGAAATATATTTACCACCAATAGTTCTAGTTTTGAAATCTGATATTCTTAGCCATCATCACTAGACTGAGTAATAACCCAGGATAGTAATAATGGTAGAAAACTCCAGCATGCAATTAGGACCGTGTGCTGAGCAAAACCCAGAAATACTCTTCTTAGAATATGTTGTCTGTGATCATAATTTTCAGAAACTCTGTAGTCTTTCTGTTATTTGATCCATCTTTGAGGCTCTCTCCCTATGTGCCAGAGTTGTTTTAAGAAGGCCGCTGGCTTAATGTCACATTGACCTGGAAGTCAGTGGAGGGGAATACGTCAGGAGGCTTGTAAGTTTCTGGCCCGTGATTGGGTGAACTGTGATTTCGGTCCCTAGGATAGTACCTACTGAAGGAAGAGCATGCTGGAGGTGAAGGGGCACAGTGAGTTCGTCTTGGGATTTCATGAATTTGAAGTGCCTAAGTCTATAAAGAAATAAACATTGGAATACTTAGCATAGGGTAAGAGGTATAGTGGTGGGACTTTTTTCCAGAGCAAGGTAAAAGGGGAGAGGATGTGGAACCTGATGCATCAGTCCGTGTTCTTGGCTGCATGCAGCAGAAACCAACTCTGACTTTCTGAAAGGATGTGGCAGATCAACAGGAGGCGAGAGACCGTGGCTTGGGAAGCAGGCAGAAGGGAGTCTGGGCCAGGCGGCAGGAACCGCTGTCAAGGCCACAGCACAGAGAAGTCTGGTCAAAAGCCACTGCACTGTTGCATTTGAAGCATTTATTCAAGAGTCTCAGCCTCACAGAGAGCATCTGATGGGCAGAGTCCCCTTGCTAGGCTGTGTCAGTGCAGGCTCTGGGGAGGTGGGCTATGAACCAGATCTTTCTTTCCTTAGACAGCTAGAAGGGGAATGTCCATTGCTGTGGCTTGGATAAATCCGCACTGAAATTCTCAGTGGCCAGAACACTCAGGCACGTTATCATCCCCACTCCCCCAGCGCTCCATACGCAGAAGTGCAGAAGGGGATGTTGTCAATGGTGCACTGGGATGGGAAATTAGCAGCAGGCTGGGCAGACAGGGGAGGAAATTTGGTAAAGTCTGTTCAATGATTTCAGTTCAAGCCGCTTCTTAGTGGTCAGCATGTTTGGAGGACCAGGGACCTAGGGATGATCTTCTCTTCGTAGAGCAGATCTGATTGTCTGGATGCCTGGTTAACCACAGAAATGTCCAGACTGATTCATCATTTTGCTGCCTTTGTAGACAACAGCTTACACAAGTCCTTGCAGCTCAGGATCTTCGAGTATTTTATCAATATTCAGTCAAGTGCATGACAAAAGGGACCGGAGAGATTGGACATCATTATTTGTGTCCAGAATCCCAGGTGATCTGAACAGAGACGTGAGAGTTGTGGTGGGGCAAGGCACAGCGAAAGGGTGTGATGCTATCTTTAAATTTAAGAGTCAAGTCTGCTTTACAAACACTTGATGATGGTACCTCATGGGGCTGGGCTCCATCAGTGCAGGAGAACCACTGTCCCCAAGTGCGTGGGGACTCTCATCGCCGACAGATGTAACAGACTTTTCAGACCTCTCCAGAGCATTTTAACATGACGACCACTCACTGTCTCCAGAGGAAAGTCAGTCCAGTTCGCCCTCTGCTCCTGTAGCTTCCAGGATGCCTTTGGCATTGTCCTTCATGGAGCCCCTTCCTTCGCCTGCTTGCTAAATGGGGGATGTCCCCTGGAGTCTGCCCTCATCCTTCTGTCATTCTACATGGTCTACAGGGGAATTCCCTACTGTCCTGGCTTTAGCCACTACTTCACGAGCTCTCCAAAGAACCACGTGTTTTGGCTTCCTTTGCTATCACACACACCTCATTTCTCTTCCTCCTTTGAGGTCCAGAACAGTGACACTTGGCAGAACAAAGGCTCCCTGCAAAGACATCCTTGAGCGAATCCCCAGAGCCTGTGCCGTTGCCACCTGACATGGCAAAACGGACTTCACAAGTGTGATGAAACCAAGACCTTCAGATGGAGAGAGTATTCTGGGTTATCTGAGTGGGGCCAGTATGACCGTGTGCACCCTTAAACCTGGAGAACTTTTTCTGCCTGTGAGCAGAGGGAGGTTTGACTACAGAAGAGCAGACAGATGTAAACAGGGCGGGCTTTAAAAATGAAGGCATGCCAGTGGCCTCTAGAAGCTGAGAAAGAGAAGGGAAGGGACTCTGCCCTGAGCCTCCGGGAAGGAATGCAGCCCTGCTGACACCTTGATTTTAACCAGTGACTCCAGAGAGGCCTTCAACCCACACAACTGTGAGGTAACAAACGTGTGCTGTTTTAAGCAACTAAGTTTGTGGCAACTTTTTAATGACAGCAATAGACACCAAATACAATGCAATAGAGGGATATCCCTGAGAAAATAATTTATGACTTATTTTCATTCAACATTATGAAACAATTTTAAAACCATAAAAAAGTTGAATTGTGAAACAAACACCCATATACCCACCACCTATATTCTAACTAATTTTTTGCTATATTTACTTTCTCACATATCTGTCCATGTATCCATTCATCCGTCCATCTCATTTTCTGATGCATTTCAAAGTAAATGACACGTTTCAGTACCCGTTGAAATGGTTTATTTCTAAATCTTTGCTTTCTTGGCAGAATAGCCACAAACTAACTCACCACCATGAGGACCACTTGTCCTGGATGAGACACCACCCATGTAGAAAAAGTCTGGCAGCTCCAGTCTTCGACCCCTTGACTTACAAACCTACAAAAAAAAACATTTTATTTCTATTATTACGTGTAATCATACTGGCCATTTAATGATCAAGCATGACAACATCATGAGGGGATTCTCCTTTAGGATCTCTGGTTTTTTAATTCTAACTTAGGTATATGTGTATGGGACCAAATGCTAGAGTTGATAGAGCCTTATTAATTCATGCATAATGCATATTCCTTAAATTTCCCTTTAATAACACCGGTACTTCTCCAATAGAGCCACTGAGTTTCTGGGGTGGTAAAACTAGAAGGGGGAGATGATACGCATTAGCTTTGAATTTCTAATACTAGCAATGACAAAATCAGTATTTAAAATAATTTGAAACCATCAAATGAATTTTAGCAGTAGAGCCTTGCATTTAGCTTTAAAAATTAATCATAAGGGGGAAATACAAGTCAAAACCTCAATGAGATACCACCTCACACCAGTCAGAATGCCTAAATTTAACAAGTCAGGAAATGACAGTTTCCAAGATCCCCGATGTTGGCAGGGATGTGGAGAAAGGGGAACCCTCCTACACTGTTGGTGGGAATGCAAGCTGGTGCAGCCACTCTGGAAAACAGTATGGAGGTTCCTCAAAA